CTCTCTAGGACGAATTTGTTTGTTTTCTTAGCAGTCCATGGTATATTCAATACTCCAACACCACAGCTTAGGCATCAATTCTCCTTGTATTATCCCTATTCATTGTCCAGCTCTCTGACACACAGCAAGTGATTGCAAAAGGCAGGTGCACCTTAGTCTCCAGAGTGACACCGTTGCTCTTTAGTACTTTGGAGAGGTCCCTAATAGCAGATTTTCCCATCTCAATACATCTTTTAATTTTCTGGCTGCTGGTGCCAAGAGTCTTGACTATAGAGCCAAACAAACTAAAGCTGTTAACAATCTCTTTACCATCATCCATCCTGATGCTGCCAATTGGTCCAGTGGTGAGAATCTTTGTCTTCTTGATATTGAGCCTCAATCCATATTGAAGGCTGTAGTCCTTGACCTTCTGCAGCAAGCTCTTCAGTTCCTCCTCAGTTTCAGCAAACAGGGTTGTGTCATATGCCTAACATAGATTGTTGTTGAATCTTCCTCCAATCCTGATGCCACACTTTCCATAGAGTCCAGCCTCCCAGATAATCTGTTCTGTATGTAGGTTGAAAAGATATGGAGATAATAGGACACATCCCTGGTGTCCACCCTTCCCAATTTTGAACGATGCACTGCTTTCTTGCTCTGTTGTGATGACTGCCTGCTGGTCCAAGTATAGGTTTCGCTTTAGCACGATCAAGTGTTCTAGGATTCCCATTCTTCTCAGAGTCAGCCACAGTTTGTAGTGATCCACTCAGTCAAATGCCTTTGCATAATCAATGAAACACAGACAATCCTTTGGATCCATCTTACATTAGCTGCAACATCACTAGTACCACAGCCCCTTCTAAAGTCAGCCTACAGTAGTTGTAAGTTTTCTTAAAATAATTTCTTGGAAAAGATTCTAGATATTGACCTTTCTTCATTTTTTGGTTGTTCTGTTTCTGTATTAAAAGATTGAGAAACCGATTTTGTTACGGCCTGAACACATTTTCTCAGTGTCCTCAGCAGCTTAAACAGCAGTTATTTTCTCAGTATAGCCTGTGTTTTAATTCCCTCTCTATGGTCTGCTTTTCAGTTCCTGTCTTAATCTTTAATTCATGACAATGTCCATTCTATTTCACTCCAGCAAAAATGAGTGTATGTAGTGATTGGGTCTTTCCCTGACCATGCATTAGTACACTATTTTCTTAGAAAGCAGGCAGGATCTTTTCTTTTTTTTTTTTTTTTAAAAAAATCTTATTGATCCTTTCAATCTACTGGTCTGATCTTAAAGATTTTTTTTCTCATTCTGGGTCTAATTTTTTTTCATTCAATTTCTGGTGAATGATTTTAAACTGTATGCAAACCAAATTTAACCCACTGTGTCCTAAATGTATTATTATATTGCCAAAGAGTCTTTAGCTTGCAGGACTTTGTTATAATGACCTTTCCTTCTTAGTTTTTTTAAACAATCAGGCTTGGGCTAGATCCAGAATGCAGGTCTAATCTTTCAGTCCCTTGAAAGCATTATCTCTTGATTAAGGTTTAGTGGCATTTATCAACGAGGGTTAGTACTTAAGAGATAGATACCAGTGCCAACCTGTCCTCACTCCTAGCACTTAAATTTTCTTGCCCTCTAGGTTTCTAGGAATAGACTGGAGATTAGAGATTAGATCGTACTTCTGTTTCATTCCTAGTCCTTCTTTGTCATCACAGTCTTTTTTTTTTTTAGCTTTAAAAACAAGTGGCCAAAGAAGACTTTTTTTAAAAAAATTATTAAATTTTATTAGTTTTAATGAACATTTACAGGGATTTGGGGTTTTCATTCCTTCATTGCTGCACCATTCTCTCCACCCTCCTCCCCAGTTTGTTCATCTTCCCCCGCCATCCGAATGTCTGTTTTAATTGTCCAATTGCCACAGTGCTTGTCAAAG